CCCACTGGGGATCGAGCCTGCAACCAGGCATGTGCCCCGACCAGAACTGAACCCAGGACCCTTCAGTCCGCTGGCCGGTGCTCTATCCACTGCGCCACACCGGCCGGGGCGAGATTATTCTCTTAAGCAACTACATTTTGAGTTGATGCATCAGGCAGCCGTGGCCTGTGTTCACATAAAGGCCGCAGGCCGGGCCGGGTGCCCAGCCGGGACCGGAGCCCACTCACCCACAACGTGAGCCGCACTGTGTGTGGACCCCCCGGGGCACCGGAGGGGAGGGGCCTCAGGACAGGCTCACTGACTCCACCAGGACCAGCAGGCCCTGAGCAGCCGCCGGTCGGACAGGGGCTCGCACTGCGGGAGGGCCAGGGGCTGCTCACAGTCACCGTCACTCGGCAGCTCCTCCTCGAAAAGGCGTGAACAGTTTCAGGACAAAGAGGAGCCCTCCTTCCTCTGAACCCCCACGGCCAGCCCAGCGAACAGGCAGATGGCTCTCAGGCGGGGCGGTGCCTGGCCGCCAGGGCGCACAGCTTTCTTCCTCCCCAGGTTGAAACATTTTACCTGCTTACCCTCCTCCCACACCCCAGCCCTGTCACCAGTTTGTGATATTCCTCGTGCTATTAATGTTTTTAATCCTCACCTGAGGACATTTTTCTTACTGATTTTTAGAGAGAGTGAAAGGGAGGGAGGAAGAAAGAGGAGAGGGGAGAGAGGGGGGGAGAGAGAGAAGAGAGAGAGAGGGGGAGGGAGAGAGAGAAGAGAGAGGGGAGAGAGAGGGGGAGAGAGAGAAGAGGGAGGGGAGAGAGAGGGGGAGAGAGAGAAGAGGGAGGGGAGAGAGAGAAGAGAGAGAGAAGAGGGAGGGGAGAGAGAGAAGAGGGAGGGGAGAGAGAGGGGGGAGAGAGAAGAGGGAGGGGAGAGAGAGGGGGAGAGAGAGAAGAGGGAGGGGAGAGAGAGGGGGAGAGAGAGAAGAGGGAGGGGAGAGAGAGGGGGAGAGAGAGAAGAGGGAGGGGAGAGAGAGGGGGAGAGAGAGAAGAGAGAGAGAGAAGGGGTCTATGAGGGAGGGCAGAGTGCAGGCAGGAGGCGGGCAGTCAGGTTCAGAAACCGAGCCTCTTCTGCTCTCAGTCCCGGGGCCACAGCGCTGAGGCCACCAAGGGCCAGAAATGCAGGAGGGAAAAGCTCATTGCCCGCCCCCCCCGCCCCGCGTGTGGCTGTGGGCCTGGGGCAGACCTACCGGAGCCATGGGTGGTGTTGCGGGTGTCGGTGAGGCCGAAACTCCCTCGGATGGAGTCGGGGGCCACGTGGCGGGCGCGGAACACCCTGGTGGGCCCCATCAGCGTCCTCCAGAGCTGGACGGCGTCCGGGTGGGCGAGGATGTAGGCTCGGATGGGCCCGCTGTGGACCAAGGGGCACGTGTCAGGAACCTGGCCGTCGGGTCTCAGGTGGCACCCGCGAACGTGTCACAGACAAAGGTGCCCTGTAGCCCGGCTGGCGTGGCTCAGGGGTGGAACATCGACCTGTGACCCAGGAGGTCAGGGTGCCATTCCCCGTCAGGGCACAGGCCGGGGTTGAGGGCCTGATCCCCAGTGGATGCAGGAGGCAGCCGAACAATGACTCTGTCTCATCACTGATGTTTCTCTCCCCGCCCCTCCCCCTGGCCCTTCCCCTCTGAAATCAATAAAAATACGTTTTTAAAAAAGGTGCCCTGTACGTCCTGAGCGTTTCCGTGCCATTCTAGCTGGTGCCGGTGCCCAAGAAAGCCAGGGAGGTCAGCCGTTGCTGGGCAGCATTCAGCAATACGCTGCTACGGCCGCTGGCCAGTCACCAGCACGGGACAGGCACCAGGGCAGGTGGCTCAGTTCGAGCCCGAGTTCCTGTTTCTGGCCACTCATTACAGCTTTAAAGAGTGGCCAGTAACGTTGATGCATCTGTTTGGGGGCAGGGGGTCTGTCTCGTGGGAAAAGATGCGGGAACCAGGGCTGGACGTACCTGGCCATGAACTCCACCAGCCGCTGGTAGAAGAAGCGTCCTGCAGAGAGAGCGCCGGCGTCAGGACAGGTGCCAGGAGCCTTCTGCACGTCTCCTCCCGGCTCGGAAGGATAGAAACCGTTTCAGAACAAAGAACAGGGCCGCGTCGTCTGGCACACCTGGGTCTGAAGCCAGGCTCTGCCCCTTACAACCTGTGCCATTTTGGGGGAGCCATCAACGCCCCAGCTCAGTTCCCTAATCTGTACACTGAGGACCCAGCAACACCTACTCGAGGGCTGCTGGGAGAATGACATGAAATCATGAGCATTAGGCCCTAGAGGATTGGCCCAGGGGGCAGAGCGTCGGCCCAGACTGGAGGGTCCCGGGTTCAATTCCGATCAAGGGCTCCGACCTCAGCCCTGGTCGGGGCGTGTGCGGGAGGCAACCAACTGATGTCTCTCTCTCTCTGTCCCTCCCCTTTCCTTCCCTCGCTCCAAAAATCCATGGGAAACATCCTCGGGTGAGGATTAACAACGAAGAAACTGAGGGTAGGACGGGGTCTGACGGGGTGACATCATCGGGACATCAAACCAAGCTCCCGGCCGGGACCGGACAGAACCTTCCGGGAAAAGGGGAGCTTCACGGGGGCAGCGACCGCGTCCAGGTAAAGCCCGCGGGGCCTCCGGGAGGGAGCAGCCCCGGCGGCGGGTGCGGGTCCTACCTTCGTGCTCCCGGTAAAACCTCCGGCAGTCGTCCCTCCGCCACACGAGCTCTCTCCTCCGCACAATGAGGAGCCTGTTGCGCAGAATCTGCTGATGGACAGCCTGGCAAGCACCCAAAGACAGTCAGTCACGGGCGGGGGAGGACCAGAGCCGGGCCGACCCGCAGAACCCGGGACCCTGGAGCCCGGGACCTGAGGGGCTGCCAGGGGGGGGTCAGGAGAGAAGGTAGGGGGAGGGGAGGGCCTTCGGTCACATGACCAGCAGGTGAGCCTGGGGTGCAGGGGCAGAAAGTGCTGGCTGCCCCTCTGCTCCTGCAGCCCCTGGAGCGCGAGCCCACAGGGCCCCCCACCGGGCCCTCCTCACAGCCTCTCCCTGGCGGTCCTCGCACTCTCCACCATCACACCGGACCCGCCAGACATGCCACCCTCTCGGCCACCCTGGGCATTAGCTTTTGAGTGGTTCCCACTCTCACTCCCGGAATGAAGAGCAACCACTTTGGTCCGATGCTCAAGGCTGCACTTCCTGGCCCTCCTCCACCTCCGATGCCCTCGGCCTCACCCAGGGTTCCTGCCTGGCTCCCCCTCTGCGGACCGCTGGCCCTCCACCTGGGCACTAGCGGGAGCCGTCCTTCCTTAGGGGCCGGGCCTGGTCCCAACACCTGCAGACCCCCTGCCGGCGCCGGTCTTGCCCTGCACTAACTGGAGGCTGGATGCGGGCACGAGGCTCCCCCAAACCTCCAGGACTGCGGACCCCGTGCAAAACGCGCCTGTCACATGACGGGACCAGGGGGCTCTGGGCTGGGATGCAGGGCGCTATCAGCTGACTGTGCTTTAATCAAAACGGAGCGCATCCAGAGGAGCCTCACGCATCGCGTGATGAATCAGACCTTTAAAAGCAGAGCTGTGCCTGCCGGGAGCTGGAGGAGGAGCCGGAGAGAGCAGAAGCCTCCGCTGCCCTGTGCTGACCTGAAGATGGAGCGGCCGTCTGAGGAGGAGGGAGGGGCCTCTAGAGGCTGCGGGTCCTGCCTAGAAGCAAGGACGTGGGCCCTGGCCGGCTGGGCTCAGTGCAGAGAGCATCGGCCTGCGGACTGAAGGGTCCCGGGTTCGATTCCCGGTCAGGGCACAGGCCTGGGTTGCAGGCTCAATCCCCAATAGGGGGCGTGCAGGAGGCAGTCGATCAGTGACTCTCATCATTGATGGTTCTCTCTCTCTCTGAAATCCATCAAAATATATTTCAAAAAGAAAAAAGCAAGGACATGGAGGTCTCAGTCCTGCAACCACAGGAGCCCCAATAAGCCTGGGAGTGGGTTCTGCCCAGGCGCCCAGGTAAGGGCCCAGTCAGCTTCCGCCTTGACTGTGGCCTGTGAGACGAAGAACCCAGCCAAGCCTCCTGTCCCTCCCCTTCTAGGACCGTGAAAGACGAAGGAGGTACTGCTTTGAGCTGCTACATCCATGGCAACTGCTGTGCAGCAACAGAGAACTGATACCCATGCGCTGTCCTAAGGGTGGGTTCCCGTGTGACTGTGCTGGTCGTGTCTTCTGTTTTATATCTGCCCCCCGAGCCCGGCTCTGCCTCCGCGGACCCTGGCACAGGTCTACGCTGTCGGCGCTCACAAGCGGCCGCTCGCACCTGGAACTGAGTGACCCCCGCGCACACCGCGAGGCGTAGATCCGTTCTTACCTCCAGAATCAGCGGGTGAGCGACGGCATCGGGCTTGATGAGGGCCAGGGTGAGCTGCAGAGCCGGAGGGCTTCGCAGGATCGCGGTCATCTCGCTCCTGCGGCCAGAGCTGGGTCAGGGCCCCATCGGAGCTGCACGCCCCACCCTTCCTACTCCGGGCCACGCAGCTCTGCCAGCTAAGCAGGGCTCCCCCTCCTCACACTCACACAGCACATGACAGTTCCATAGGAAGGCTGCACACGTGGCTACTGTACACATGTCTACGCTGTTGTACAGGGTGTCCCAAAATTCACGCAAGATTTGAATTTTGCGTGAGCATTAACAACAACAAAAAATAAAAGCCTAATTTTACTTGGTTTATTGAATCAGATTCTAATATCTGTTGCCCTTTGATTTCAATCCCTTCAATTTGATAAGCATCACCAAGTACCAATGATGGCCCAGGAGCAGGGACAATGAAGACCAATGAAGACCTCGGCTTTTTGTCTGTGCCAGCAAAGCCGTGGAGGCCATTGACCCGATGTGCTATTCCATACATAACCCTAGACTGTATCCTTTATGAATCAATAAAAAAATTTACAATTTTTAATTATAAACCTGTGTTTTCTATCAAAATTACTTCTTGCGTGAATTTTGGGACACCCTATATTTCATGGCCCCTTTGTGCTCATGGGATTTGGGGGGGCATGATCTGGTTTGTGCCCCTGTGAGCCTAGGAGGGAGCTACCCATTCAAACGAAATTCGGGTTTAAACACGACCCGTCTCTGCCAGTCACTTCCTGCCCTTCCTACCTGTCCTTTGTGTTTCACAGCACAGTGTTCACAATTCCTACGTCTCAACAGCCAGGCCGCGGGGGCAGAACAGGGATTTCCACCCCAAAGGCCCTCTGTCTCAGTCTGCCCTCCCGTCAACTCTAGGGCCGGCAGATGGATGGGCAGGAATCCGGGTGTCGGCTGGATGCACGGGGTCTCCTACCCACTCGGCCAGGTAGGCCAGGCGGTCCTGCCCACTTCACACCCTCGGCTGGGACGGCCGTGCAACTCCACGCTCGGGGCCTGGCTGCAGCCATGTGCACGTAAAGCAGCTCAGAGAGCCCGAGGTGCCGATCAGTTTCTGTTATTGGGGTTTTTTTTACTTTCTTGCTGGATCAGGTCCATTGACCGCGGGAACCTACATGGTCTCGGTTTGTTCCTACTTGCACGTCTGGTGTCTAACACGCTGGGGGAGCCAACAAGTTTGTGGGAGCGGCATGGAGGACAGAGCGTTCGGTGGGTCAGTCTCTGCGCTCGGAGGCTGAGGGCTCCTCCGGCTGTGAAGCTCCTTCTCCGTGAGAAGCCGTCCATCATCTCTGCAGGACCCAGGACCCGGTCTCCAAAGGGCCCCTGGCGGGACCCCTGCAGGTGCCACCGAGTCGAGGCGGCTCCGCGAACCAC